TTTTTTTTTTTTTTTTTTTTTTTTTTTTTTTCAAGTATATGTTTGTTGGAGTTCTGAAGATGGTTACTTTCTCTAAAATTTTCTTTTAAAAACTTTGTCAAGAATACCCTTCTTTGTTTAATGGAGTTTTAAAGCTTTCGTTTATATAATAAGGAGTAGTTGTCTTGTAAATCAACACTTTTATTGCAGTAGCAGCTTCTGCTTCTTTTAGAGATCTGTGATTTTATCTTTTTAATTGTTATTTATGTTAGCTTTATCGTTTTCATTTTTTCTTGAAACTTCAGCTTTTTTTTGTGAGGATAACGATTCGTTTTCGTAAGCTTTTTGCTTCTAGGATTTACTCTAACTTGTAATTTCCGCTTCAGAAATGCAGTATCCAAGTACCAGTAAGTCGTCAGTTTTTTTTCATTGGAAATCAACTGGAACTATTGAGGTTCCAGTGTTTTATCCAACCTTGACAGAAATGGCTGATTTTCCTGGGTATATCAGAAAAATCGAGGAAGAACACCAAGCGCATTTGGTTTGTGGGATAGCCAAGGTCAGTTTCATTGTGGCTACTGTTCTGTTTGATACAGTTTACTTCGCTGCAGCAAGTAGTTCTTGTAAAAGATTAAGGTGGGCAGTATTAGTGCCGGGTTGTAAGCCCTAACTTTTCTATTCAGTTTTTATTTTGAAACTCAAAATTCTATAGATTTAAGTAAAGTTGAGAATTTAAGCTGTAAAAGTTAATGTATTTTGCCTTTTTGTTCAACTTTTCAATTCTGGTTGTCATTTCTAGGCTTTTTTTTTAACATTTACAGAACACAGTTAGTATAAGTGTTAATTTATTGTGGTGCATTATGATTTTTGTATGTTCTTTCAGCGATACAGAAAGTAGTTGTTTAATTGGACGGAGTAGGTTGCACATTGCTGATGATATTCATTTCTTTTTAAATATTGAAAACTTCCCAAATTAAAAATTTGAAAATGAAAAATTCTAATGTCACGTTTTAAGCCACCAGAATGTTATTATTATAGTTTTTTTATAAGTACAGAAGTACAAAGTTGGAGAGAACAGAAGAAGCAATTATCAGGTTTTAGAGTTAAAAGGCGCGAGGGTTTTAATCTGTAGGGAGGTTTCATCATTTTTATTGGAGATGGAAAATACAGTATGCTTTTGATGAGGATTTTTGTAGAATTGTTACTGGTAATCAGATCTGAGTTTTATGCGTTCTTCCGTTCAATCTTTTCTTTCTTTCTATCTAAAACTCAAAAGTCCGCCACAGAGGGCATTCCTTTAATTCATACAATTTCCACTTTTTGAAAATTTTTATTACTTTGTTTTTCTTACACAGAATCCGCTAGCTTTTTATTTGTTATTACCTCAGTTTTCCTGTAGATTGTTCCACCTGCTGAGTACTGTATGCGGAAGTCGCACGACTACTCTGACGTTGATAACTATGTAATTGAGCAGTGAGTTTTTACATGAGTAAAATCATTCGGCTGTCGTTTTTATTCACAAATTTAAGTTCTAGATGTTTGTAGAAGTATTCTTATTCATTTTGCTACCTAAACATTTGCGTTAAAAGTTTTCTTTTTGCTTTAAGGCCTGTTAAAGAGAAAGTCGAAGGGCAAGGAGGCATTTATTGCAAAACGAATAAGTTGTACAGAAGGTCAATGACAGTGAAGGAGCTTAGGTCACTCGCGAATAAAATGCGTTGTCCCAAAGGAAATGGTGTACCGCCAGAAGATATTGAGAAGTAACGATTAGCTACTCTTATAAGTGCAGAAGAAAGAAGAACTTTTTCCTTCACATTTCTTTGAAGTGTACATTCTTTATATATAAAATAAGTTTACCACTTTATTATTTATCTCAATTGAAAAACTGCAGGCATTACTGGAAAACAGTATTGCAAGGAGAACCTATTTATGGGGCTGATACTCCTGGCTCTATTTGTGACCCAGACTTAAAAGAATTCAACATGAATCGTTTAGGGACGATTCTTGATATGCTAAATAATTATGAAGTTAGTTGTATACATCTGAGTATTTTTGTTTTTAAAAGAATTGGTGTAATAAATCAACGTGTTCTTTCATTTAGATAAAAATCAAAGGTGTAAACACTGTTTATCTTTATTTTGGTATGTGGAAGACGACGTTCCCATGGCATGCGGAAGATATGGATCTTTACTCTATTAACTATGTTCACTTTGGAGAACCAAAGGTGAGTTTTTGCACAAAAGAGCCAAATTAGTTGGTTGTAAATTTATCGGAAGAAATAGTTTGCAGTTGTGTCTTGAAAGCTTATTTAAAAGTTGCCTTTGCTTATTACTTCATTGTTTTACTTTGTATTTGAAAGCAATTTTGAAAATGTCTGAACGATTGAATGCAGTAAGCAGTACTTTTTAGCTGGATCTTTGGATCTAATATATTTTAGTTTTGGTATGCCATTGCGACCGACTGTACTGATCGCTTTGAACGTTTTGCGGCTCAGCGATTCCCAGCAGCAGCGAAATCCTGCAAATCTTTCCTTCGTCACAAAAATTTTATGATATCTCCTTCTGTCTTGAAAAAGAATAACATCAAATATGGCACGATGGTTCAATATGCGAATGAATTTATAATCACTTTTCCAAGGGTCTGGCTTTTCTTGCACAAATTAACTTCCACTTAATTTGTTGCTAGCGACCTTAGTTTTTTGGAAAAATTTTTGCATAATTAGGTATTGCTACGTTTACTCTGCATTTAAAAAATTGTGAAATGATACAGCGTCAAACAAAATTGCGATCTGCTTTAGTCTAACAGCAGGACTTTGAAGTTGGGTTTTAGGTGTTTTTATAATTTGGCTTTAGATGTTTCATTTGTAGAACCCTATAATTTGAAGAAGTAAGGTTTTTTGCCAAAATGAAAGTTAGTAGGCTAGAACTGTGAGATTCGTGGTGGATTCGACGAGTAGGTCCATCAGTGTCTTTGACTTATTTTTTAAATGCATCAGAAGTAGATTCACTGTTACCTCACTGCACTCAACATTTTCAGGGTTATCACATGGGATTTAATATGGGATACAATTGTGCTGAATCTACAAACTTTGCGTCAGATCGTTGGATTGATTATGGTACTTAGCACGACAAATTTTTGTTGCAAATGAGAACTACTTGAACATTTGAAAACTGTCTTTCTCTATATGCTGCTTTTTATCCGTATACACTTTACTAAAACTCTTTCTGAGCTTAGATTGTTTTAGGGAAAAATGCCTCAGTTTGTTCATGTCGTTCTGACAGTGTTGAAATTGATATGAGGCCTTTTATGGAGCAGTTTCGACCAGATGAGTATAAGGAATGGTTGCAGTACTGGTATGGCGAGCGAGTAATTAAGGACAGAAGTACTTATTTACTGCCCTAGTTGTTTTTTGTCTGTTATTATTTTTACATATAACTGAAAACTGTTAAAGAGAAAACCCAAGTATCGAGAAGACAGCCTATACTTGAAGAATCGCCAATAGCTCCGAAGAGACCGTGTCCTGATTATGTTAAAAATGCTTCTTTGAATTATGATTGTGTGGTGTCGCCAAACAAAAACGTTTTTGGTAAGGAACTACACTGCCGTTTTTGTTCACCTTTGTAGAGTAAACTTCTGAAGCTTATGCATGCCAAAATGAGCTAATTTTCGACTTGTAGTGGGATCGCCAATAGCTTGTGGGTTGCTGTCTGTGGCCACAAAAAGTCAAAATTGGCGCAAAGAGGTAGTTTTTTCTTTCCTTCTCCAAATTTGTATGCAACTCCTTAAAATATTTTTTTAGAAGAGATCCGTGATATCTCTTATTTCACAACTGTGTGACTAAATCAGCGCAGTTGCTTTTATTAAGGTCCGTGAACTATGGTCGTGCCTTCCACCAAATTTATATGCGGAAAAGGAATTTAATAATCGTCGAGCAGCAGAATCACCACACTGCGCCGTATGCCAATATTTTGTGCCATCAGCATTTGTGGAAAGAAAAAAATGTATACCAGTGACGTGAGTGTAACCCGGCCTATTAAATTTTTTACTTTGTTTTTCTGTCAAGAAAATAAAAGCATATTTATATCGACAAAGCGTATTAATTTTTTAGGTCGAAACGTTATGTGAAACGTGCTTGGTTTGCGAAGGAAGATCCTGATACGTATCCGGTGAAAGAGGAAGACCCTGAGGATCGCTTATTTCGCTGTTCGAACTGTTATGTTGTTGTTCATCAAGGATGTTATCCCGTAGGGAATATTTCTAATGGTAAGCTGTGCTCTTCAGGAATTCTGATTAATTTGAAGTATGAAGTTTCTGTGACTTTGGACTGTTTATTTACTAGTTTCTTTTTAACCTGGAAGGTTTACAGATTCTTAAATATTTTTTAGTTGTTGTTTATATTTTATGGAAGTGTTTGAAATATTTAGAAGTTTTAAAGGTTCTTAACTTCGAACGAAATTGGAAGTGTTTTCAGAAAATGGGCAGTGGTGCTGTATTAGATGTCGACGAAGAGACGACAACGCAGTTAGGAGCGCAAGTTGCAGTTTATGTGAATTGCGGGGTGGTGCATTAATTCCGTTGGAGGATGTAGGAGATTTGTGCCTTAAACCTGATCTGTATCTCTCTTCTTGTTTTCTTGTTTTGATGATATTTCTTGAAAATTCTTCTGCATTTCATTCTAGAGTGGTGGAGATTTTGTTCATGTTATATGTGCACTGCTGAATCGTCGAACCGTCTTCGTTAACCCAGAAACTTTAACCTCTGCTTACACCCAACCTTTATTAAAATTAAGGAAAGCTCCTCAGTACGACTTAGAACAAGCGTATAAGGATGCTTTTGGAGATAACTGTGAACGTGGAAAATTTCAGTGTGATTACTGTCAGAATTCAAGGGAAGGTAATGTATAATTTAATAAGCATATTCTCTCATTGAACCTTTGATTTTTACTGGTTGTTTATGATGTGTTATTTAAAAAAAAAAAAAAAAAGTGGAAAGGATTAGTTTTTGTTAAAGCTGCGTTCTTCTTTTTCAAATTAAGATGCGCTTATAGGTATGCTGTACTTCTGAATTTACAGGACTGTTGAAGTGTTTTGTGTGTGAAGAAACAATGTTTCACGCCACTTGTGCGTATTTAGCTGGCGTATCTTTTGAATTTCGTAAATGGCCCGATTTAACTGTGGCAATTTGTTGCGATTCACACAATGGTAATTCTAACTTTTTGCAAGAATTTTATAGCAGCTGTGGATAAATAATTTATTTGTTCTGTTATGGTTTGATATCTTTTACTAAACAGCACCTTTTCAGTTCTTTGGTGTTATAAGCTTCAGTTGAATTTGCAGTAACTGTCAACCTAAATTATTACTTAGCTAGAGCTTTCGAGAAATTTTAGCACATGAAGATGATAACCAAGTGGCCGTTGGTGACAAAGTTCGGGTTGCCGTAAGAGACTTCCCAAATCGTCTTTTCAAGGGAATCGTTACGAACATTGACTGTCAGGAATGTTGTACAGTTCATTTCATGGACAGAAATTGGAGTGACGATTTGCCTCCTGAAGATATCATAGATTGTGAATGTAAAAAATTGGAGTGTAAGGGGTGGCATGTCGCGGGATCTAAGGTACAGTGGACTTTTTAATATAAAGTTTGATCATTAGATGTTATTAGTCTAGTTCAAAATGAGCCTCTTCGCTATAAAATTTCCTACTGTTTTTTCTCAGCATATAATAAAATGAACATTAAAATAGATACTTTTAAAAGAAACAATTATTTTGTCAATAAACGTTTTGGCCAGAGAGTAGTTAAGGTTTTCAAGAAGGATTTAGTGTCTCTTTGCTCACGGTATTCTGTATTCGTCAAGAGCAAGAAGTAGTCATTAGAGGTCAATTTAAAAAAAAAAAAAAAACTTCCAGAAGTCTGAACTTTAATTGCAGGTAAAATTTTACGATTTTGGGATATAAGCTTCTAACATTGTTCGGGAAAAAGATTACGCTTCTTTGATTTTTTAAAGTCAAGCGCCTTTTATTTCTGCCATAGTTTTTAATTAATAGCGGTAGGTGGCTGTCTTCAAGAGGTCTTTATGTTATATGTAGTAGTGAACATTTTCAGCACTACTTTACCAAAAAAGAGGGACGGGTGCTGTATTTTGTGGTGCATTTTTGTCTGATCATGGGTTCTTTGGCTGTAGTTGTCGTTCAGATATCACTTTGCATATTTTTTAAAAACCAACGGTTTCAATGGCATACTATATGGTTTGGGTATACAATATGTAAATGGTTTTGACCTCTGTCTTCTTCTAACTCTTGAAGTATTTATTTTGTCTGGAATGTGTAGTATCTAAACTATGGAGTAAGTGTGACTGTGGGACTAATCTATGCGTTGATGTTTTTCGTTTATCCTCTGTAAGAAAACGCTACTTAAACGGAACTGTTTCTCAAAGCGTTTTTTGCTCTAAAATTATTTGGCATGCCAGCTTTTCAAGAAAAAAAGTTCTTGGTAAATGGTGTAGTTATGTTGTAATGAGCTTTACATTAAAAAAAGCTACGTTTTTAATCGGTCACACGCGCCGGTTTCCTGTTCTGACAGTAGATGACATTTCCATGTTTGAATGCAGCTTTTGTGGAGGAGGAACGCAAAATTTGGCTTTTTAATTATGCTGTACCGAAAAAAAGAATAAAATTTAATTTCTTTCTGCTGGTTGTTGGTATGAGAATTAACTGCTTGAAAAAAAGGCTCACTTTGTAGTTAGGCAGCCTAATACTGACTATCGTAGTCTTTAAGCAGCGTAATGATTTGATTATTAATTTTCAGATTAAAATTAAGTGGGATGATGGTATAATTTATGACGGCATATTTCGTAACCGTTATATACGTTCGACGTATACCGTTCAGCTTTCAGCGAAATACCCGCATCTTCCAAAAGTGGTGAAAGTTTGTAGGGAGGCTGTATTTGCTAGAGGTGAAAAGCCAGTTGGTTTAAAAGAATAATAATAAACTAGTAAGTTGGTATTCTTATCTTCTTCGGTGATTAGGATTTTCCTCAAAAACCTCGGGTGTAATAAGTTCGCCTTTTGTTTATTCTTTGTCTCTGCTTTTTTGTCGTATATGGAATCTGGAGAGAACTATTAGTAGAATTTTTGTTCTAAAAAAAAGTTCTGGAAAGATTGGAATTTGTTGGCTTTCAATTCTGGAAGTAAATCTGTGAGTTTTGTAAAGATCTTGAACGATGCTAAGGGCTGTTCAAGATTTGTTTTGTAGATAGTGTGGAAAACTAATTTTTTTTTTGTTAGTTTTGATCTTCATGTGTTTCTTCTCAGATTCCTTGATTGTATATCTCACTCGTTGATTTTTAGTGTCAGGAACATGTTTTACCTTTTAGGTTTCTTAAGCTTGCTATTTTGCTGTATTTTGTTCAGTTTTACGTTGCTTGGATATTACAGGAAACATGCAGATAGCTGGTGATTTATTTTGATTTATGTAGCTTTTTTTAATATTGGATGCTTTGGTCTCATTTTTTGCAGTTTTGGCCTGCTTTTAATTTTGGGTTTGAAGCTATAGTAGCTTGTGTAAATCTCACCTCGCGTACAGTGAAGTACCTGATGATGATAATTAGGGTCTTAGAAAACTTTGTTTTAAATCTTGAAGGATTTTATTGTTTGCTGTTTTGCGTTTTTATTCTAGTCTTTTCTTCTATTTCTTAATTCTTGTTTTTGATACAGCAAAAATTCTGCCAATTGGGCTTTTGAGGCATTGCAGTATGAAGATGTTTACGTAAGTTTGATGATTTATTTTTGCCAAGAAAGTCACTTGTTTGACTTGAACTTTTCATATTTTTCGATTTATTTGGTATCTGACTACACTGTTTTTGCTGTTGGAT